AGGGATTTTCTTATGTGCATAACAATACACACGGGCATCCAATCTTACTACCAAGGGACCAGCGACAATTACTAGAAGTCCACATAAAAAAAATCCCAGCCTTCACCAGGTCCTGAACCTGGGACCTCCAGCACTTGAGGTGGACGCCATGACCCAAAACCACTCAGCCACCAGTATTCTTGTAGTCCAAACCAACAATAGTTGAACAGTCAGTACCAAACCAATCATAATGGTGGAAAAAACAAAGACATTACTTTTTTGGCTAAGTTATCAGAAAACAGCGTTAGTCATCATCAATGGCTTAGGCATTGCGAACACTCTTCATAGTTCTGGTGTACAAGGTTTGCTCCCAGCTGTAAGCAATTTGGCAACAGACTGCCCTGCATTGGTTTCAACAGTGGAATTATGAGCCAACTATTCAGGAGCAAGGGAAATTACTGTAAGTAAAATTGCACAGTGAAATAACAAAAGCTAAAAAATTCTGGTGTTGGTTTTGCAATATTCTGCCTTTTTTTTTTTTAAATGACAAGAGAGAAAACTATACACATTACAATGATGGTAAAGATTCATGAGAAGAAGGTAGAGAAAGACGTAAAGGTTGTTTTACATTTTGCCATGGCATGGAAGGGTGTCAGCACACAAATTGATAAATCATTTTTGAGATTAAAGTAAAAAGTAAAGTAAAGTAAAGATCCCTTTTCACGCCTTTCGGCGAATCGGGCATATGGGGAGAGCGTCCCATATTTTTACAGAGTATCAGCACTCTGTGGGTAATGTGGTCAGCATTACGCCGGCTGTCTTTACTTTCCCAGGACAGCCCATCCTGGTACCCATTTTAGGCTTGGTCGACCTGCGACGTCCAATACCACGACAAAAATCCACGCAGCCTGCAGTGGGTTTCGATCGCAGTATGCTGGCTTACGAGTCGGACTCGCAACACCTTAGCCACGGACGCCGCATTTTTGAGATTGCAAGCTATTAATAAGCATTATCCATCACACAACTCAGCAAGTGGTGGTGTCATAATATCCTTACGTCCTTTTTAGGATGTAATTTTTTGTTTTTTGAAGCCCCACTCTGGCTTTTGCCAGGGGCCGCAATATAGGCAGGCCATAAATATGGCCAATTGTCTGAACGCGGTTTCTGGGACCTCTCCACGGTGATCCTCATCCACATGGTGGCACTTTGTGTCATCGGGTGTTTATTGCTTGTGTGATGTCCTATTGGGGTAGAAAGTCAGTCAGTCAACTCAGCAAGTCATTTGATGATGACAGTCCAAGCCACATAGAGTTTTTCATTATGCCTGTCCCCAGGCTTCTGTCTTGTGTACCACCACACATTTCTCATTCAGATGTTCCATTTTGCTATGACAACAAGATAGCTAAACATTTCGTATGTGAATGTAAATGTCTATGTGTGCATGGATTTTTTATAATCTACAATTACTAATAAAAACAAAAATCCAGCAGTCAACATTAAAACCAACAATTCAACAAATGCTATTAAAAACCAATAATCCAAAATCAGCACTAAAACCAATTAAACAACAAGTATCACTAACATAAATAATATAACAACAGCACTAAAACCAACAATTGAACAAAATTTGCTAAACCAACCATCCAAAAATTAACACAAAAACAAACAATTCAATAATTAGCACTACAAACAACAATTTAACACTAAGCCAGCTTAATTATTGTAACTAAAATAAACAATCCAACAATTAGCACCCACACACAAAAAAAAAAAATTCAACAATTTACACTACAGACAACAATTTAAAATTTTGCACTAACACCAGCTTAATTATTATTATTATTAAAATAAATAATCCAACAATTAGCACTAAATTGAACAATTTAACAATTATAACTAAAACCATGACTTTAGCAATTGTTACTATAACCAGCAATCCAACATTTATTACCTAAACCAACATTTTTCATTAATTACCACTAAAATGAACAAAGACTTACCTGTTTACAAACAAGCTGAACATAAGTCTTTCCTTTGTGTTATTGGCATTTGTTGGAGTGAGAACCAGGGTGAATTCAGACTGAACATTGAGAAATATGAGGAAAGTTGGTTAATTTCTGCCTATCAAAATGATATGTGGCTGCTGGCCAAATGGTCAAAGTACCTTAAGACTGGGGTTCATTAAACATGGACCGGGACTTCCAGATCAACACAGCTTAAAATGGGCAATAGCAAATGTTCTGGGATGTAGGTGGCTGGAATAATGTTATCACAATCAAAGTCACTGCACATTGGGCATTCCCATGCATGCTCAGTCCTCCGATGAAGCAGCCACTCCAAGGTACCTCCACTGATTGTTCCCATGAGGAGCTGGTTACAAAGCCTCCTATCTTAGCTCTATATCTGCTTCGCAGATGCTATTTCTCACATGCATTGGTGCACTGCTTGCTATGTGATTGGCCTTTTTTTGTGAGTTCTGTCAGTTCCTAACTGAACCCATGATCCAACAGGTCTATAAAAATACATGGCTAGTGCATTATAAAAAGGAAATTTTCTGGGTTCATAAGTCCATTTAACCAATAAATGCATGGGGGTGGGGTGGGGGGGGGGGGGGGGGAGCGGGTTGTTTTTTTTTGGGGTTAATTTTAATTAAAAAAATATGCTTAATGAATTGGAAGAGGGCCATTTAACATGGTTTTAAAAAGTAAATAATTTACAGTTAATTTTACAAAACATATACCATTAATGGGAATCACTGTAGTACAGCCCCTAGATGCTGGTCTACGGATCCTAAAAGTTGTAGCTTCACATTCAACTGAGCTGGACTTATTTAAAAAAAATGACCTTGGCTTCCAGGTCAACACAGCTTTAAATGGGTGCCAGTCAAAGTTATGAGAAGTAAAGGCAACCAGCGTAATGTTGACCACATCACCCATTGAGGGCTGATTTGTCTACAAAATATAGGTCTAAGACTATTTGCCCAATGCACCAAAAGGCGTGAAAAATGATCCGTCACTTGCTTACTTATGTACCATTAATGATTAGACTAAATAAAACTTGTATTTAAATTATAATTATTTTGCATTTATTTTAAATTGAGCTGATCATAGACTTAGAAAATGAATGATGAGAATACCCTTGACAGATAAAATGAGTAGTAAGGATGTCTTGAAAGAAACTGACTCATGAAGAGAACTCATTGCCCACATCAGAAAGAGACAATCAACATTCTTTGGTCTTGTTATTTGAAGGAGAAAACTTGAGTACATCATGAAAGTAGGAAAATTGGAGGGGAGGAGAGGCAGAGGCAGAATGAGAGAACAGATGCTGGACGGTTTGAAATCATGGTATGGAGGATCATCTGTGTCAGTGTTGATTGAAAGTACACAAGACAGAAGTCTGCGGATAGACATGACTACCACCGCTAAACAGTATGGACTTTAAGAAAAAGAAGCAGCGGCTCAGACTTTTTAATAATGCATGATTACAATACTTGAATCTTTTTTACTGGTATGATGATTAACAGTATCAATCAATATGGCCTTTTTCTGTGAATTCCAACCATCATTTAATGGACTGTCCTATTTTTTACATTTGGTTGGAGCATGCTGAAGAATTTAAAAAGTGTTAAATGCTATACAGATCTATGTAAATAAATGCACATGAGACATGGAAAATAGGCAGACAAGCTGAACATAAATTTACTCACTGTGGCAATGTGGTTTTTGGGAATATGCAAAGAATATGGAATGACAGAAAAATCAATGATGCAAGCCTCTTCAAGATAGATGAAAACGATAAAATGCTTAGAGAAATAAGACACAGACGGTTAGTGTTTATTCAGACATGTTATTAGAAGAAATACATTGAAGAATGGGGTAATGACTTGCAAGATTGATTGAACAAGAGAAACATAGATTTTTCTTCAAAGATGGAGTGCATCTGACTGAGAGGTAAGGAATCAACCATCTGCAGACAAATAAGCCAGATCTGTAAAAACCAAAGGGGCACAATACTCAAGTCCCAGAACAAAATAAAAGACCTGAAGCTGACAAAGAACTTAGACTGTAACATTAGAGTAACAGTTGGTGTATGCAAAGAAGAAAATCAAGAAATGTTAGGTATCACTTGACATAGGAGTAAGAAGAAAAAATGTTTTTCCTTAGCTGTGTTATATGTGTGTGTTTTTTTAGTCTATCTTTAGAGTTATCACTGCATAATTTTCTTTGTCTCTTCATTTTATAGACTATTTAATAGTATATGTATGAGGCAGAGAACAATAATTAGTAAAATGTTATGTCATAACAGTGACAGAGGGAGAAACTATTGATGAAGTTTAATGGCACAGGAGTAATATATAGAGAATTTAAGTTGTGTGGAATAAGATTAATCAGGTATAACTACCAGTGACCCATTTGTGATATAACAATGATAAACAGAAACCACTTGTTTAGTTCTATTACATTAGGGGAGTGTAAACAACACTGTCATTTATGCTTCCCTTTTTGTTGTTGGTTTTTTTTTTTTTTTGGGTCACTAAAATATTAACACAGTTGAAATGAGTTGAGAACTGACATCACAGCACTTGGGACATTCCCCCAAGCACCCCATCCCCATTTTCAGTAGCCAGTGCAGAGCTCCAAATTTGATTGCAGTTTGATTGTTGAGCCATCTTAACTTTCATTTAAGCATTGAGTATTAGCTAGTTCCCTTGGTCATTCTTGATAACACCATTCTTTGCAGACCGTGATGACCTATTTGTGCTTCTGCACTGTTCACTCATTCTTAAATGATCTTCACCATATCTAGCTTTCCCTGTATCAATTTACCTTGAAGGGATGCAGAACTAACCAATATGCCTGTCCATTTTCCACCATACATGTGAGCCTTGGAGAAATTGTTCCAATGCTTACCACTCTGAATGGAGCTTGCCTTTCTCCACCTTTCTCAGCATGTTTTGTGAGTCTGTTACGATTACAACATATGCATACAGCTAGTTCTGAAGCCATCATAAATTTTCAGTGACTGCCTCCATCTTCATTTTTAAATTAAATGTTGTGGTATCATATGTCAGGCTTCACTGCACTAAGGAGCATCCATTTACTTTTTCTGTGAACAAGGATTCATACTATACTAATTGATTCATACATCACTGATGAATTCATATCCTACATTATTCATTCATTAATTTTCTCTTTAGTTAATTACCTGAGATCCTTTCTGCATTGGATTTCCCAAACCACACTGAACTTTGCTGCTGTCATCTTTCAAGGTGTCACAACTGATGGCTACATTGGATCTCTGATGTGAAATGGTTTTATAGGTGACTCCAGTAGGCAGATCAATCCATAAATTTGTATTAAATGAATCCTCTCCCCGATTGAAAACAATTATGATCACTTCTAAAGGCATTGTGCTGCCTATTCTGTGCTCACTAGGGACTCTGTAATGACAAATTATAAAACAAAAATGAAGCTTCATTCAACTTGAAAACTATCATTAAGACATTTGTACCAATGTGTAAAGGACCAAAAGCTTACACAATCACTAGAGTTATAAAACCCCATTTGCCACTTATCAATCTCCGTTGACTGAAGCAAGAAACCCCTGGGACAATAATATAATAGCACAGATCTCTTTACTTCTTCTTCTTTCGTTCGCTTAAAATAGATTATCTATAATCGGCAATGTTGTCTCTAGTGTGAACTTCACTGTCTTTTGTAATTCACTCACCGAACTGTAGTTTAAAATAGCATAGGTTATCCCGCCCAAATATGGCCTGCTGGGTAATTTTCTATCAGGAGGGTATTCTAGACGGGATAAAGATAATTGTCTCAAGCTGTTCCTACATATTATACAGGCTGGAGTGTTTATTTCTTCCTAACAGATACTGTCCTAACTTGACTTCTGAAGAAGGCGCCGTAACTATTCAGCTAAATCATTCTCTGAAACTTCATATTAAATTTATGTTTCACATGATTATACTGTCTTTTACAAATTTACTATTTACCACGAAAAATAAATGTGATTTTTGGCTGATGTTTACATATGCAGTTATTAAGAGGCATATTTATCCTCCCAAGTCAACAAATCACTTCATGATGATTGGATTACATAAATTGCCCTGATCTGCTAAGGTCAATGGAATGTTAAATGCGGCAGCAACTCTAGACAGTCCATCAGTTTTAAAATATTATTTTTTACCCTCCTGTCCAGGGGAAGTAAAGACGGCCTGCGTAATGTTGACCACATTACCCACCTAGTGCCGACGGTCTGTAAAAAATATGGCAACACTAGACATTCCATCAATTTGGAAATATTATCTTTTACCCTCTGGTCCTGGAGAAGTAAAGACGGCCTGCGTAATGCTGACCACATTACCCACCTAGTGCCGACAGTCTGTAAAAATATGGCAGCAACTCAAGACGTTCCATCAATTTTAAAATATTATTTTTTTTCCCTCTGTCCTGGGAAAGTGAGGACGTCCTCCAAAATGCTGACCACATTTCCCACCTAGTGCCGACGGTCTGTAAAAAATATGGGAGCTCTTCCCACATGCCCGATTCGCCTAAACCGCGTGAAAAGGGATTTTTATTTTTTACTTTAATTTACTTATTTTTTTACCCTCAGTGCAATTTGACTGCTATAATTTTTGTAGTTAATCATTTGAAGTTCTGGTACACACAATAATACTAACCTAACATGATTCACAGCAAGGTCTGGTATACAGATGTTGTCAATTCCACAGTCTTTCAATATATGTACCTGAAAAGTGATGAGGGAAAACAACACTAAGTAATTTTCAATACTGTTCCTTATTTACTTGTGTGATGTTTTATTATGCTATATACAAACAATTAGTAAGCATAGGATTACATTATTTATACATACTATGATTATTAAATGTTAAATACTTAATTAGGGATCAACATCACAGCACTTGGAGCATTCTTTTAAGCGCTCCATCCCCACCTTCAGCAGCAAGAGAAGAGTTCCTATTCTGGTGGTACCAATAGCAGTCTGACTGTATATCCATCTCACCTTTTCCTTGAATGCTGATCGTCGACCAGATCCCCTGGTCACTCCTTGCAGTACTTTCTCTTCAGACTATTAAAATCCGTATGTGCTTCCGTACTGTTTATCCTCCCTTCCCCCAAAGATCCCTTATAACATCTAGCTTGTCATGCATCAATTCATCACCAAGTTGTGCAGACCTTGCCAGTCTATCTGCCTGTACATTTCCAAATACACCAGCATATCCTAGGGAAAATATCCAAAGGATGCCAACTACCCTGGACCTCTAAAGCGATGCTTGCTACTCTTCATGGAGCATACCGGTCTCCACCTTTATTAGAATGCTCTGAAATCCATGTACCCATGCTGAGGGCAATTTTACGTTAAGGCGGGACAGCTGCTATCCACTTCACCAGCTAGGGACACACAATCTTCTTCTCTCTTGTATGTTCATGAGGTTTACAGAGTTACTAAGTGTTTGAAAATAATTTCGCTGCTGAGCATATGTGTGTAAAATTCTACCTATATAGCTGTGTAAGTATGTGTGTGTATGTAATTAACATGTATTTTACAGCACCAGAAGCCTCAAATTAAAATACATATATGTATGTTTGTATGTATGTATGTAGTATGTATGTATTTTTGTTGATGTATTTGTGGATGTATGTTTGTATGTATGTGCTGCGTATATGTATGTAAATTTGTCTATATGTATGCGAATGTATGACAAAAGTGCTGTCAATGTAGAATATTCGTGTGTGTGTCTATTTTAAATGTATGCTGTGTGTTGTGTATTTCTATGTATGATGTGTGTGATTATGGGTATTTCCAGTGGTCAGGTATATTTAGGTTTGTAAGTAACATATTTCACTTTCCTTCTTCTCATAACATGACCCCCACCACTCCTTCCTCAGAGAACAAATACTTTAAAAAAAAAAACATTTTAGATAGGTCACACCCAAAATCATAACAGTTCCATTTATGGACCAAAATATTCTACGTTTCTATGCCTAATTCTACATCATTATGAATAAAAATTTATGTAATGATTCTAATTAAACTGTTCACCATGTAACACTAGGGTAATTGGAAACTATGAAATCATGATTTACATTTAAAAAGCTATTTGTTCACAGGGAAATCCTAAAATTTCGTTTTTAGGAAAAATAATCAGTTCGGGGGAAGGGGGGAGGGGAGGTTGTCCAGTTACTATCCTCATTCTCTCAGCTCCTATTCTTATTTCAACACATCCAATCCTATAGGCTTTCATTTCAGCTCCTCAGACCCCAATAGTAACATCCTTTGATAAAATGTTTAAAAATGACTCCGACTTGGAACTCACAGAGTGAAGTCATGTGTTTGAAAAGATATAATAATTCTTATTTTAATGATGATTTAGAAGAAAAAGGTAAAAGTTGCTTTTCAGGCTAACTGTGCATATGATGCTAGACTCTATTTGTACTGACCAATCAACCCTCTATGGGTGTTATGGTCAAACTCATGCTCCCCATTTTTACTTCCTAAGACATTCCCATTTTCTCCCATTTTAGGCATTGTTGACCTGTGAGCCAGTGTCTTTCTTTCCAAAGTGCATAAATGATAATGGACAGAAGAAAGAAAATATTTTACAAATGTTTAAACTCTTTGAGTCCAGAGGGTTTAGCATCACTGGCCCAAGGGGTAGTCAAGAGAGATGTAAAATTGGCACATCAAACGCTCATTTGGCCTCTAGGTAGGAATCAATGAACGTATGATGCGTTCCTTGGGACTTAAAGAGTTAAGGCATTATTACATAATTTAGGCAGTGCAAAAATACTGGAAAAGTAGGAAATTATCTGCAAAAAAAAAATTAAAAGGCCTATAATAATATATCTATATATATAAATAAAAAATATATTATAAATATATATATATATATATAGTATATATATATATATATATATAACATATTCCAATTAGACATAGAAGAATTGAACAGCATAATATTGTTATAATTCCTTCACTATTGTTCTTATCCCATCTGAGCCCTTGCATAAACAAATGACTGATATATTAGGAAACAAAACTTCTAAAACTAAGAAATTAAGTAACTTACAGTAAATGATGTAGACGTTGGAATATAAGCATCAAGAATTGGAGGCAATTCTCGTCGTCCTCTGGATTTAAGACTTTCTTCATTTAACTTGAAATTCATAGTTACTTTGATTGGACTCAGCTTATCATTAGGATCTTTCTGTAAAATAATTTACACAAATGTGATCTACAATATAAAGAAAACAATTTTTGTTTAAAATGATAAAAACTTGCATCCCAAATATTAAATCTCTATTGACAAACCTGATTCACTATCTACTCTGCACTTCATTAGCTTACTGCAGCAAATATGTATAGTGTCATGTATAGCGTCATGTATAGCATCAGTCAATTTCAGTTGCTATTTGTCTTCTGATATTTTTTTTCTATTTCAGATGTTATTTATACTCAACTATTAAATGAAGATGAAATCTAAACAATCTGAACTAAATCTAAGTATACAGAACAGAAGCTGGTATTTCAGAAGAAAAAAATTCAGAAGATCTTGAAAGACTGGAAACAAAAAAGTAAAGTTATTAAAAGAAATACAAAAAGAAAGGGAAGTAAAATATGTCATCCGTACTGAAAGACAAAAAACAAAGAAAAACCAAACTAGAGAAAAATGTTGGAGACATACAAGAAATAGGGAGACAGCATGGAGAGGATAAGGAAAGAGATGGATGAACAGCAGTTTGGAAAGTTTACAACCAGGGCAAGAGATTGAGAGTGCTGGAGACACATTGTAGCCAGCAATCCTTTTAGAGATGGCAGCAAATAATGAGAGTTTTCTTCAAGTTGTCATTATTTTAATATGATTAATAACTGAAGTGTTGAAAGTGTTGAGCGCAGCACAGCCCAACATTTGGTAATTGTAATGGACTCACAGAGCATGCTTTGGAAAATAGAAACTAGCATCCTAAGCATAAAGTGGTTTGCATCACTTGATAAGCCTCAGATCAGGAATATATCACAGACTTTCTGTCCAGGAAATTCGGGTGTGCGGGGTAATGAGCAGGCTGATAGATCTGCTGCTGCAGCTCCTCTGCATGGTTGCTACTTTATGGAAAAGCGAATGTGGTAAAGGCTCTCTAAGATCAAGTGGACAGTGCAACAGAACAGACCAAGCATCCCTACACTGATAGACTAATTCAGCAAAAAGGGAAGATAGATGGGGTTAGCTGAGGATCTAGAAAATATTCAAAACTGAGGGGAAAATGTACATGAACTATCAGTCAGGTTGCAACTGGTACAGTTAGCTCATCAACTCTTTGTTGGCTACTGATGAAAGAGACAGAGCAAATGTGGGAATATCCTGAGTGCAGGGATGTCAATTCTTGATTGACTGATTCATTCATTCATTCAAATTAATAGTTATAGTTTACCTTAACAAAAGCATAGGAGGATGTACAGAAATTCTTCGCTTTCTCAACCTTGTAGGTCTTAGTTTCTGTGTGGTTTCCCACGTTGTTGGTGTAAAATGCCCGCTGCTCATGTACAGTGTTGTTGTTTTCCGTTGCATCCAAAACCCATGAGACATCAAACACTGAAAATACAACAAAGTAAACCCATGAGACATCAAACACTGAAAATACAACAAAGTAAACCCATGAGACATCAAAACACACTGAGACATCAAAAAATACAACAAAGAGACAAACTGAAAATACAACAAAAGTAAACCCCTGAGAAACACATCAAAACACTGACATCAAAATACAACAAAGTTAACAACCCATCAACACTGAAAATACATCAACACTGAGACATCAAACACTGAAAATACAACAAAGTAAACCCATGAGACATCAAACACTGAAAATACAACAAAGTAAACCCATGAGACATCAAACACTGAAAATACAACAAAGTAAACCCATGAGACATCAAACACTGAAAATACAACAAATTAATAAACGATACCTCAAGTTTTATAGTTTTTAAATGATGACATTAATTTGGCTGAAATTGATTTTCTTGGACAGTTTCACTGCAGATGTGTAACTCTGTTTGTGTTGTAGAACCACCTAGTAGTGCAGAACCGGCAAGTATATCTGCCTGCTCATTTCCCAACACACCGGCAAGACCTGAAGAAATTATCCAAAGGATGCTAACTACCTGGGACCTCTGAAGTGATGCTTGCCCCTCTGCATGCCTGTCCCCACCTTTCTCAACATGCTCTGTGAGTCAGTAAAATCACATCATGTATACAACTGATTCTCAAGACAGCGGAAGGAAGCAGTTACGGCATCTACATCCACGGAAGAAAAATATTAAGGTGCAGTTCTGTTCCTTGCAACTTGTTCCCTTCCTCAGTTTTTAGAAAAGATCATTTGTTTGATTACCATGTCTTTGTTTTAGTTAATTCATAAGAATCATAGAATTTAAAGCATCTATCAAATGTTGATATATTACATTTTTTTTAAAGCAAAGAATAAAAAGTGTAGCCTGTGCTCAGAATTGTGACTGCTTGAGCAAGAATCTATTTTTCTTAACCCTGAAAACCTACCTACCTACATTTTAAAAAAATGGTACCGGTCTCTTCTTACTCCCCCATCTTTTTTTCTTATCCTTCTTCTTCCTCTTTTTTTAAAAATCTCCTTCCTCTTCTCCTTCTGTTAGAAAACTTATATCAAGATAAAAGCTTTGATTCTGCCCCATGTGTACCATACAGCTTTTTTTGATTGACTTAGGAACAGGTGAGATGGCTTCTATGTTAAATGGTACAAGTAAGAGCTAAACTTAAACCATTAAGACTAAACAACCCATGATGTGTCATTGACTTATCCCTTTGAATTTCAATCATCACATGCAAACCCTTACTTTCATATTTGTTCATAGTATTAGGAGTCTGGCCTCTCACTAGTCTATTTCCATTGTGCATTTAGTCTCTGAAAGAAAAGTTTTGGTAATTTCACAAAGCAACTATTCTCCCAACTGAGCACTGTGATAGAGTCTTCTGAAAGTTAACTATGGCATTATACTAATGTAAATCCACAATAATTTTCTTTTAAAATTGAATACACTAACTGCACCTGACAAGCAAATAAGCAGGAATAAAACTTAATAAAAGCTTATAACAATGCTTGTGTTCTTCGGTTAAAAGGATGCTTCATTATATTTTGAAGTGAAGTTTTAATGGACCTGGTAAAATACAGCAAGAATATGCTGGGCGGTAAACTGTGCAATATATTGTTTGTGTCTTTATTATTTAAATTAAATAACAGCTTACTTAGCTCCTCTGCAACTCCAACTCCATGATATGCAATACAGGATAAAAGGGTCAAACTGAAAAATAAATAAGGAATCATGAATTCATCTACAGATATTTGTGTACAATGACAATCAATGTTGAAATATTCCTTTGTAAATTAAAATATTTAATCCTTAGCAAAATGACAATTTTTAACATAAGAGAGATCAAGCAGTTAACAACTAGAAGTGGAGCCCACTTAAAGAGGTTTCACAGGCACTCGAGTGTTATCCGGTAAAGCACATGACTCCGAATCCAAGCTGATCACTTGAGGATCCACTTGAAGGTTTACAGTGACTCGAACTATTGGTTTGGTTCTATGGAGCAAAAGACAAACTGTGTTCACATTCATACACAATATGTTTGTAAATTAATTGTTTTCATTAAATGTGTACTAGCCTGCTAAGATAGTGGCATAGGTTCAATCCCTGAAAAAGGCAGGGTTTTTAGTTCTGACCAGTAAGGTTCCTGGATCAAATTAGCCTCATAAACAATTCTCTAGGTTTTCTGAAAATTCTCTAGTAAGCATAGGAAGTGAGGAAGGACACTGGATACCCCATCTCAAATATCACAGTGTATCTTCTTCTTATGATCCTTTATTGGCTGACAACTAAGGCAGAAAGTTCTTGTTCTCCCTTAACTTCTGGACTTTATAGTCTTGTTCCAGAATTTGAGTTTTGCTATTCACATTTATTTTACATATTTTGCTTTTTTTGTGTGCAGACTGTTGGTTCCTTGCCTCTCTGACTTGAAGGGAATAGCCCTATTTAGTCAACGTTTTACAATATGCTCCAAATGGGACCCTGAAACCTGCATAAGGATCACAGTGTATAATATGTTATGGCCTAACACTTCTTTTCTTTCTTCTTTCTTTTCTCTAGACAATCTTCATTGTCAACTTGTTAAGAGGCATCTGATGCGAGCCTTAATTTTTGCTATGCTACAAAGATGAGTGTGCTCAGATACCTCTATCCATCACCTGCATAGGTGCCTTAACTTTGCCCCTTTGGTGTCTAAGTGACAGGGCTCTTTTCAGTTCTCGTTATGCCTAGTGGCATATGAGGCTTCAGAGAGGACTTTCCATGCTTTCCTGTCCTGTGAAATATTCTAAGAGCCGTGTTAGCGCAGTCGATAGGAGGCTCACTTTCAAATCTAGCTGCAACTCGCTGTTCAGCGTTCGAAACCGGGCAGTTCCGGGGGTTCATCCAGCCTCTAGAAAATGGGCACCAAAGTTGACACTCTGGGGTGAATGGAGGAACGTCACTGTAACTACGGAGTTACATGCAGATGGCAACACAGGACAGTTTCTTATCAGCTGTTCCTTACTGGTGGCAGTGAACTTATGGTATATAACCGTGTCACTTTCCATCGTTCGTCTCCATATTGTTTTTGGGTGCCCCTTTTTTCTTTTTCCCTCTGGTATCCACATGAGAGCTGCTTTGGCATGTATATCAGGATTCATTCTCATAACGTGGCCAAGCCATTTCCATCTTCTCTTGGTTATCATACTGTCTAGAGTTTACTGGTTTGTGACTTGAAGTAGTTTAATGTTTGAGACTGTATCTGGGGACAGGGCTTTTTAGGGGTCGTTAACTTCTGGTAGCATTGACACATGTCTGAACCATTTGATCTTTTGTGTCTTGATGTAGTTTAGAAATGGTTCCGTTCCAACTTGTTTCTTGATATTGTTATTTTTCTTATCCTTTCTCTTCCTGTTATATTTAACACTTTAGACCCTCAAAAGCAGTATCCATCATGGAACTCATTTCCATTAAATTCTTGTGAAAAGTCATTCGATTTTATAAATGGCAGATGCATGAGGAGAAATACTGACTAAGCAGGTAATCAGATAATCAGGTAATCACAGGTGCAACTTCATAGAAAATGGGTCACTCCATAGTTGCTTCATTTCTGTGCCAGTGAAAACCAAACTGAATTCCCATCACAGTCCCATGTGGAAGAATTGACACAAGACTACAACTACAGCACATCCAACAGCAGCAGCATCATCAGTCAGCATGTCCTTCACAGAATATTACTCTCTTTCTGGCACAAAAGTTTCTCTTTCTCTAGCCAGTTCTTTAGCCCTGTGTCCTTTTATAGCCAGTGCATCTTCACTGTCCTGTACCTTCGCAGAGGTCGGTCTCTGTCTCAGTTTTTGTAAACTACATCCTCTGTCAGCCTTTTCTCTAGACCACCATAGCCATTGAAATGTCTAAAATGCATCCTCTGTCAGCCTTTTCTCCAGACCACCATAGCCATTGAAATGTCTAAAATGCATCCTCTGTCAGCCTTTTCTCCAGACCACCATAGCCATTGAAATGTCTAAAATACCTCAGCTTTCAGGAGAAGATGCTGCTCATAGCCATTAATGTTCAGGTCATGTCAGCCTTTTCTCCAGACGTCTAAAATGCATCCTCTGTCAGCCTTTTCTCCAGACCACCATCTTGAAATGTCTAAAATTTTGTCAGTCCACATTGAAATGTATCCTCTGTCAGCCTTTTCTCCAGAACCTCATTGAAATGTCTAAAATACATGTAGTCAGCCTTTTCTCCAGACCACCAGTGTCAAAGCATCTGAGCCTTTTTCCTCTTCAGAAACTGCATCCTCTGAGAGTAGCCATGAATCACATACCCAGCTTTAAGTTGCCACAGGTCAGATGCATGTCTTTCTTCTTTTTGGTCCACAGTATTCTTAAGAACTCTTCATTTTTAACTTGCTTCAGAAACTTGCATGAATCACATCCATAAGTTGCCACAGGCAAGATGCATGATCCCAAAATCTTCACTTTAACTTGCTTGCAGGTGCTGTGCAGCAAGTCTTCTTCTGAATTCTTTTGCACAGTCACAATTGCTGTTCATTATTTAGCCTAAATATTCAAAATCTCTGACATTTGCAATCTCTTTGTTGTTGAATATAGTATGTGATTGGTGTGTTGATTTCATTGTTGACATTATTTTAGTTTTTTCATATTCAGAAATAGATTCTTTTAACATACAGCTTGCACAGGCATTAAATTGCTAAGGTAACCATCAAACTATGACATTTACAACAGATCAGTGGTTGCACAGGCAATTTACTATATAAGACACCACCAGTTCTGTGGCAACATGTCACTTGACATTTTATGAATCTACAGTTCACAACACACCCTGCTGCGCACAGTCGAAAAGTATTTCAAATAAAATCTATAGCTCACAGTGTTGTGCCATGCACTCAACTCAGCAGCTGAGCGATAAAACTATATACATTCCATCTATATATGGAGGATAATATAATGGCATGCAATATCCAACAGCAGGAGGTTTTATCTGAGCACTACAACTCTAGAATCAGGCTAAGCTCATAAAATACATGGCAGTTGTTTTTGTTTGTCAATTTCCAGTGAATTTTCTGTGAAGTGAAGGTGGCAATGAAGGGTCTTGTCTACCACAACTCATTTTTCAGTGACACCGTTTTTCATCATCACCACCATTTGCCCTGTCCATAGGCATAGGTTGTGATGTTTTGCCATCTCACATGACCACCAGAATCACAAATCAGATCAGTGCTCTTGTCTCACAACATCCATACTGCCAAGCCAATTTAAGTATTTACTTCTTTGCCTTCCTTTTGTCCATGTTCCTTCAATCTCACCAGTTCTAACCAATCTCTCCAGTCCATTCCTTCTCATGTCATGTATTGGAAAATCATGACTAAACTTGGCATTTTGAAGAAGGTAGTTTGCCATAGCATTCCCTCTTGGATAAAGTTCTTACTGCAAAATAAAACTACAGTTCTAAAAAGCAGACACAAAGACATAGCTTATACCTTAAAAAGACAGCACTGTCAGACTTATAGGCCCCAACAAGCAAGTCAGGATAGTTGTTCTGATCCTGATCCAAGCCCCCAGACACAGATACTCCAAACGTTGACAGTGGTGCCTTAATATCTTTGGCATAGATTATCTGGAAAAAGAAAACACCATACCAGACTAAGGTGATATTAAACTGAGTTTTATACAAATAAAATATATGTGATATATATAAATATCACATAGTTACCCGATGGTGCATGGTCCTGACCACATCACTCACCCACTGAGTGCTGACCACATCACTCACCCACTGAGTGCTGACCATATCACTCACCCACTGAGTGCTGACCACATCATTCACCCACTGAGTGCTGACCACATCATTCACCCACTGAGTGCTGACCACATCATTCACCCACTGAGTGCTGACCACATCACTCACCCACTGAGTGCTGACCATATCACTCACCCACTGAGTGCTGACCATATCATTCACCCACTAAATGCTGACCACATCACTCAACCACTGAGTGCTGACCATATCACTCACCCACTGAGTGCTGACCACATCATTCACCCACTGAGTGCTGACCACATCACCCAACCACTGAGTGCTGACCACATCATTCATCCACTGAGTGCTGACCATATCATTCATCCACTAACTGAGTGCTGACCACATCATTCATCAACTGAGTGCTGACCACATCATTCACCCACTGAGTGCTGATCACATCATTCATCCACTGAGTGCTGACCGCATCATTCACCCACTGACTGAGTGCTGACCACATCATTTATCCACTGAGTGCTGACCACATCATTCATCCACTGAGTGCTGACCGCATCATTCACCCACTGAGTGCTGACCACATCATTCACCCACTGAGTGCTGACCACATCATTCTTCCACTGACTGAGTGCTGACTACATCATTCATCCACTGAGTGCTGACCACATCATTCATCCACTGAGTGCTGACCGCATCATTCATCCACTGAGTGCTGACCACATCATTCATCCACTGAGTGCTGACCACATCATTCATCCACTGAGTGCTGACCACATCATTCAACCACCTGAGTGCTGACCACATCATGCATCCACTGAGTGCTGACCACATCATTCATCCACTGAGTGCTGACCACATCATTCATCCACTGAGTGCTGACCACATCATTCATCCACTGAGTGCTGACCACATCATTCATCCACTGAGTGCTGACCACATCACTCATCCACTGAATGCTGACCACATCATTCACCCACTTAGTGTTGACCACATCATTCACCCACTGAGTGCTGACCACATCATTCACCCACTGAGTGCTGACCACATCACTCACCCACTGAGTGCTGACCACATCATTCATCCTCTGACTGAGTGCTGACTACATCATTCATCCACTGAGTGCTGACCACATCACTCAACCACTGAGTGCTGACCACATCATTCACCCACTGAGTGCTGGCCACATCACTCAACCACTGAGTGCTGACCACATCACTCAACCACTGAGTGCTGACCACATCACTCAACCACTGAGTGCTGACCACATCATTCACCCACTGAGTGCTGACCACATCATTCACCCACTGAGTGCTGACCACATCACTCAACCACTGAGTGCTGACCACATCATTCATCCACTGAGTGCTGACCACATCACTCAACCACTGAGTGCTGACCACATCACTCACCCACTGAGTGCTGACCACATCATTCATCCACTGAGTGCTGACCACATCACTCCCCCACTGAGTGCTGACCGCATCACTCAACCACTGAGTGCTGACCACATCATTTACGCACTTAGTGCTGACCACATCGTTCATCCTCTGAGTGCTGACCACATCATTCATCAACTGAGTGCTGACCACATCATTCATCCACTGAGTGCTGACCACATCACTCACCCACTGAGTGCTGACCTGCATCATTCACCCACTGAGTGCTAACCACATCATTCACCCACTGAGTGCTGACCACATCAATTCACCCACTGAGTGCTGACAGGTCTATACACATACAGGTCTAGCAATAATAATAAGAAAACTCAGTGCTTTATTAATATCCTACCCCAAACAGGGGAAATTCAAAAGTAACGGGACAGCCTATTATTTCAGGCGGTGGTAGATAGGCTGCATTGTGGGCATGTCATGTGGGACCTAGGCCACACCCTCTAGTGGGACGCAGGTGGGTTGGGATTAGTGGCAGTTCTAGATGTTTTCTGTGTCGTTAAAAGCATCAGAAAGCTGGGAAACCCAGTCTTACCACCCTCTAAAATGTTGGACTGTCCTGCGACGTCATCTGGAGTAAGATATTAATAAAGAACCGAAAACTTCACAGGGGAGCATACACAACAGGAATCTACAGGTCATCAGTAGAAGATCCCCTGTCAACAATTTTTTTTGGCCCGTTACCACCTTAAATGATCTCGGAAGGTGAGCCAACCTGGGTCATGATGCCAGGCCTCAGTATCTCCTGCTGTGCTTAATTGGACACATATGGACGAGACAAAGGTGATTCAACAGGTACTGGTGAGATTTGGTTCTATTGGTGTTGTATTGTCGCTGCGGTAGCAAATTGGCCACCTACCTCCACGACCGAGCAACAAGCAATATATACCCAATATGCTAATGGCATGAAAAGAGCCTTGAAATTTTTTGTCTTACTAACTAACAGTTGAAGACACACACACGTACACACACACAAAACAATCATGCAATATGAGTTATTTTACCTGAGATACAACTGTTATTATGCCTTTTTTAGAACCATGATAAATATAAATTGCACCTCTTTTATCCTCACCAGCATATGGGGCACCAACACAAAGATCTGTTGCAAAAATTTTAAAAAACAAAAAACAAAGAGTTTTAGTCTTATGAGTGTAACAATAAGACATAAAAATGACATAATCAAATGTGAAAGCAGATATATTTACAGTTGAGCAAACTGACTCTCAGATATTATTTGATTGTTAAACATATCCTAAATTTATTTGTTCTGTGTCTGTAGCTACATACATTTGCAGTAAATACTTAACTAAAAGGATGTATGGTTTACTGATTTAACAACATTTATAAAACTAAAAGTTGGTAAATAAGGTAGACCAATTTGGCAACATAAAACTAAATATGTGTAAATATCAAAACTGTGATATGATACTGTTTAAACAATAATCTATTAAAAACATATTTAAATCAGAGTTTGATCAATCCTGGGGCAAAACTATTGGCTTGGTTTTAAAGATGATGATAAGGTAGGTTTACAAAACAAAAGAAACTTTAATATATCTTTATCGTATAAAATTAAAAAGTGTATGGTTATTTATGAAACAAATACAAAAAAGATAAGCAGAAAATCAAAGTTTTATACATTTAATAGTTTTAAAGACATAGCAAACATGTTTGTGTTTCAATAAAGAAAGTGAATAAAAAAAATATTTTGTAATCCTATAAGAATGAGAGAACTGAGAAAGTCAATAATGGACAGCCGATAATAAAATGACTTTCTCATATTTTTATTTTCTAGAGTAGGCAGATAATAGAAAACAGCAATGGCACAACGAAAAGTTTGGAATCCTGTTTAAAAAAACAAAAAAAAACAATGGACACTAGTAATGTTATCTTTAAAAACAAAGATAGGATTGTGTAAAGTACAGTGTGGCCTTGTGTCATATAATTGCTAGGATAGACATGAAGGCTGTTCTGACTCCTCTAAAGATTTCTTAACAGTTCTAATGCAGTTGTGACAGGCCTTGCAAGCAGATAATGGATTAATTACTGCTATAGAAAATACTACATGAGTCAGGAGAGCTGATGAAAGACCAAGTTTCTTTCAGGCAGACCGTGATGAGTGCGAGGTTCTGCAAAGGATGCTGCATGATGATGATGATGATGATGATGATGATGATGATGATGATGATGATGATGATGATGATGATGATAGAAAATACACTCAGTTTGTCTTTAAAAAGATAGATCCAGATCAGACTCACCATCATATCCATCATTGTTGATATCTCTCAGGGTACTTAAACCCATTCCAAAACGAGAGCTACTCGACTGCCCATCCAGTGTGTCTCTGTTCTGAGCTGAGAAGCTTCTCTGAAATAAATTATCAATGAAATTATAATTTCACAAATTAAAAATTACAAACTACAGGACAAGGTTTTTTTTAAAAACAAGTTTCATTAACACAATAAATTGCAATATTAAAATTCAGAAGCCTCAGTGTTTTTTTAATGGTTGTGAATTACTCAGATATGTCAGAAAATAATTTGAATGAAAACATGATGATGAATTTCTTGTCGCATCATTTAGTACTAACTCTCTCGGTTGTTAAATGTTGAGTGTTGAATTTTTAATTTAGAATCAACATCATAGCACTCAGGACACTCCCATAAGTGCTCAGTCCTGATCTTCAGCAGCAAGCAAAGAGTTCCAATTCCGATGGTACCAGTGACCATCTGATTGTATATCCATCTCATCCTTCCCCTGAGTTTTGAGCTATTGGTCATTGAAGGTGTTTTAGCTAATGCTGAGAAGGAGATGAAGAATTAACTAATAAGAAAAATGTATGATTTTTAAAGTGGCAAACTATACAAGGGAAGTGTCACTGGGAAAGTCAGATTTCTTTATTGTTCTCTGACTAAATGTGAAAAGTAAGAGGTCACATTATAAGGTAAAAGGTAAATACGGAATGCCTACAGAACCACCTAAATCAAATTAGTAACAAAGGGGAGGAATATAATATGAAAATAAACACTACGAAGACAGAGACAATGATGATAGGAAGACATAAAGACAATTTAGAAATTGAATTAAAAAACAACACCCTGAGACAAACAGAGGAATTTAAGTATTTGGGAGCAATTTTTACATCCGAAAACTGGACAGAGAAATTAGCTCCAGATGTGCCAAAGCTAATCAAGTAATGGGTCAACAATCTCCCATGTTAACACACAAGCAGATACCTCAGAGTACTAAAGTAAATCTTATCAGAACTATTTTTTGGCCAACACTATGCTATCAATGCCAAACGTGGACACTAACATCCTCTAATGAATGTAAAAAATATTCTGACAACAGAGATGAAATGCCTTAGAAGAGCTGCAGGAGTTTCAAGGAAAGACAGAACACGAAATCATGAAATCAGACGAATGCTAGGAATAAAGCCAGTCTTATAGGTCATCAAAGAACAACAAATGAAGTGGTTTGGACACCTAACAAGAATGCCCTGGTACTATCTGCCACAGCGAGCCACACTAAAACGTTACAACGAGTATAGAGCGAGTGGAATACCTAGGAAAATATAGAGTGATGGCATTAAGAACAACCTTACAGAAATGAACATCAGTCTTAATAGTGCTCTTGACAGAGCTCATCAACGAACATTACATCTCCCCCCGACACTTCGATGAGGTAAAAGGTGGAAGAGAAGAAGAAGAAGAAGAATAAAATCCATGGAACAGCATAGGCACCCATAGTTTTCTGCTTGTTTTACTGGATTTTATTAAACACAGCAAAACTTATTCAACTGCAACTACTTTTGCTAGAAAGCAATTTACTTCTTCTTCTTCTTCTTCTTCTTCTTCTTCTTCTTCTTCTTCTTCTTCTTCTTCTTCTTCTTCTTCTTCTTCTTTTTCTACTTCTTCCTCTAGTTGCCTCAGTCAAAGGTTAGTTTTCATTTTTCTATGCTTTTTCTTGAAGCAGTCTTTCCATCTTTGCATGATCTTCTCATTGATCTCTCTGTTCATTTTATTTCTTCAAAATGCCTATATATGGTAGTTTGTTCCATGGCACTTTAGTTGTATGGCTATCCTTCATTTGTTATTATTTAATGAAAAGAATCATGGGTTTCAGTCCTAGTCTTCTAATTTCCTTTGTTAAAATTGTGTCAGCTCAGTAAAGGATAGAGGGAACAAAACATACCTGACTTCTTCCTGATTCGCTATTCTGTTAAACACAAAACAGAACAAATGAGGCAATGTTTGGGTAGTAAATATACAGTGTTTTGAATCAAAAGTATTATTGTTTAAGTAATTTCAATGAAGTGTCTGCCAGATACAAATATTTTTTTGCAAATAAAAACGTTAAAGTAAATTTCCAGAGACTAAATAAAGAACTTGTACCACTATATGAGGCTTGTTGCACTCGTCTGCAAAGGTGTGTTACCAAAGACAACCAACAGCTAGTGTATCCAAGATATCAGTATAAGTAAGACCTGCTTGCATGTATCTCTTTTCTAAAATTCACTATAGACACTGGCTTATAGGAAATAGTAGATTTACAACATACTGTCATCAGTCTAGAGGAGTACAATTTCGAGACAAATTTTTAGGTATTACCTAAAAATGTGGGTAGTGTTATGATGAGTTTTGATGAGTTGTTTAAGGGTGGGGAAAGTTACATTATTTAAATATTAATAATTCACATGATATTTTTTCTTCTAAGGGTTTACTAGGTTGTAAATTCCAGCAGCAAATTCTGGTTGTTCCTCCACTTCTTGACTTTGGTATTTTTCCAGAACTTCAGTTTTATATGCACATCTAATTTCCAGATCTGGCTTATTTGTATGCAAACTGTTGGTTCCTTGCCTTTCAGAGGCAATCTGACTTCAAATGAAAACCCTAATTGGTTCTCCTGAATTTCAGAGGGGTATGGGCATTCCCCCCCCCCCTCCAAATGAAAAACACCTCTAAATTAGGGACTTAGCCTCCTACATGAATTTTAATAGAGAGATAGATTGAAACTGAAATTTACCCCCCTTCCCCAACCTCTCAAAATGTTGACTCAGAACCCACTCAGGGAATTGTTTGAATGTTAACAATTCACCTAACATGAGATTTGAAAGCACAAATAGTGATACTCCCTAAAAGGATAATTGCTTACAAGATGATATACAGCATCATCTATGTATATTATTAAGAAGTGCGTCTTACAAGAGGTAAATATAAGAGGGTTTTCCTTGTTCTCTGCCAACTTTGATATCACTTCAGTCATCTTGGTCTAAAAAGACAGACCCTGCTGGCAGGAGGAAAGGGAGGTGAGATGGTGGTGGCTCTGGTGGGGGTTATAAAGGAGATCTCTTATTCATGTATTAAATAATTTGGCGGTCTTGTATTGAGACAACTGCCTTAACAAACAGTTCCACCGCTTCTAAATAGTTTGTGTTGGTTCATGCTGATCTGACCATAGAATCAAGAGGCCATACCACCATCTGCCAGCCAACTTGTGGACAGCCTTATACTCATATACTATTGCTTCTTACAAAAAAAGTGCATTTACTTAATACTGTTGAAACTTACATTACTAATTTGATAGTAGATGTACACTCTGCCAGTATCAAATGTATCAGAAGATTCTAATTCTGCATACATTGGAGCTCCAACAATGATGTCATCCATTCTGAAAAACAAATACAGAAACAATAAATACTGCATGCAAATTTTGAATTATAAATTCTTGTCAAGTCTTAGTCTCTCACCTTTCCTTCATTCACTCTTTTAACACTGTGGGTGTAGAGAGAATACAGGCTTCTGGTTCTTGTTTTTTTGGCCTCCTCAATAAAAGATGCATTGTACTGTTGTAGTTTCCCTGTTCTTGGTCTATCTCAAACTCAGTCTCACTTACTTATGTTAATGTTTTTGGATGTAAGTGTATTGTACAGCATGTAATCATTAAGTATTCTTTCTGACTGGGTAAACCACATTATTTGCTGTCCTTTCTCATCATTTTTTTCCTGATGTATTTAACACAGAAATTCATGATTTTTTCTTTCTTTTTTGTTAATGCTAAAAATATGACTCATAGTATACCAGATTATACATGACTTGCTAAAACAGGAAAGGCTGAGAATGGTAGTGACATCACTGTTTTCATTATTATCATTGTCAGGTATTCGAACACTCAGTCTGATCATGAAGTTTCCTAAACACTCAATTTCCTAGCTCGCTGTCTTGTGCTGCTATTCTTATATTCATATTATTTATATTGATACTGTCAGACCTATGAATACTTATTTTATTAATGTTGTATTTGGTCTGCTCACTACCTTTCCACCTTAGGTTTTCAGGTACTCACTTTGGTGTGTCTTCATGAACAAGCCCAGAGAGTCTTCTCTTCCAATAATTAAATACTGCAAATTTATATCATCTTGTAAATGTAATACATCTTTTTAAATTACAAGTCAATCCAAGCCAACTAACTAGACTGTTGTTTGAAAATATTTTGTTATGCATCATTTGAAATTATGTACTATTTTGGTATTTATTAAAATCAGCTAATTTAGCTTTGACATTCCTATAATTTATTATGCATCTGTTTCTTCATAGTAAAAGTAAAGTAAAGATCCTGTTTCAAGCCTGTAGGCACAACAGGCATATGGGAAGAGCACCCATATTTTTACAAACCAATTAACACTAGGTGGATAATGAGGTCAGCATTATACCGGCCGTCTTACTTCCCCAGGATATACATCCTTGTACCCATTTTAGGCTGGGTCGACCTGTGATGCCTCATACCATGCTAAAAATTCACGCAGCCAGCAGTGGGTTTTGATCGCAGTACGTTGGAATTATGAGTCCGACTCGCAACGCCTAAGTCGCCGATGAGCTTCTTCATAAAGAAATGCAATTAAATCTTTCGACTTCAAATTCTATGTGTTAAATAATGTTGCTATTTCTACCTTTAGTAATTTATAATTATTCAAATAAATTACTTAACATTATTTTCACACCAGGTGTGTGAACCCTCCCACAAGCAATATTTCCACTTAAAATACAGTATAACCATTTTTTTTTTAATTCTCAAAGATCTTTTTTTTTTTCAAAAGTGAGTTGAAATATTTGCATTTTGAGATTTAAAAAGTGACCAGTCAAACCAAATAAAGTATTATAAACATACCTATCTCCATTCAAATCTGCAACTGCTAGTGAATATCCAAAATAGGATCCAATCTGCAATGATATCAAAGAATGTAATCTGATAAATAATTTAAATGTTAATTATTAATTTTACAATAAATAATTTTATGGAATGGAGCAAACAAACATGTCACTGAATATAAAAATAAAAGTAAAGTAAAGATCCCTTGTTACGCCTTAGACACATCGGGCATATGGGAAGAGCATCCATATTTTTACAGACCAATCGGCACTAGGTGGGTAATATGGTCAGCATCACGCCGGTCTTCTTTACTTCCCCAGGACATACATCCTGGTACCCATTTTAGGCTGGGTCGACCTTTGACGCCTCATACCATGCTAAAAATCCACACAGCCAGCAGTGGGTGTTGATTGCGGTACGTTGGAATTATGAGTCCAACTCGCAACACCTAAGTCACGGACATGCTTCTTCATAAGAAAATGCAATTTAATTTTCTACTTCAAATTTTATGAGTTAAATATTGTTGCTATTTCTACCTTTCTTAATTTATAATTTTTCAAATAAGTTACTCAACATTTTTTTTACACCACTTGTGTGAACCCTCCCACAAGCAATATTTCCACTTAAAATACTGTACAACCATCTTTTATTAGGTCTCAAAGACTTTTTTCTTCTTCCAAAAGTGAGTTAAAGTATTTACATTTTCAGATTTAAAAATGACCAGTCAAACCAAATAAAGTAATATAAACCTACCTATCTCCATTCAAGTCTGCAACTGCTAGTGAATACCCAAAATAGGATCCAATCTGCAATGATATTAAAGAATGTAATCTGATAAATAATTTAAATTTTAATTAAGAATTGTAAAACAAATAAATTTTATTGAATGGAACAAACAAACAAACATGTCACTGAATATAATTATTGGTTATTTTTCGAATTCACTATAGCACATGAAAATTATAAATGTAAGGTACAGTTGGACAAAACTTCATTTGCTCTATAAAATACACACACTCATACAGCCACCCCCACCCACCCATCCATATCTCCCACTAAGCCCACCTCCAGCCATCCCCTCAACCTCCACGAAACTTAAAATTTGCATTCACCATTACAATAAAAGAAACAATATAAACATAAAATATAACCCTGTTAACTCAAACTCACTTAAGACAGTCATTAAATCAACATGTAACACTATTTTTGTCCCAACAGAGATTTTTTTTCATATTACATTGATTAGTCCCAGGTTAGTACATGATTTTTTTTTTAGCACAAATGATTTTTTTTTAGCACAAACTCTTGATTTTTTCTTTTTTTTTTTTCTTTTTGCAATTCATGTTAACAAAGTTTTACTGAGTACTTTTTACCTGCTCTCCAACCAATGATCCAAAAACTGTCAGATTCTGAGTAAATAATTCAACCTGTGGCAGAATCAAGAACAGTTCATTATGTAATTTCAATTTCAATAACTTTACTGTAAACTACTGACATTTTACTACCCACATTAGGATAAAACTGCCATCTTCTATGGTTGCTGTAGGAAATAGGAGATTCAAGAGAGGCTTATAATAACTGTAAAGGTCATTAGTTTAGATTTAGGTTTAGATTTCAATGACTGATCAACATCATGGCACAAGGGTAGTAACCCATGATTGCTCCATTTCACTTCTGACTCAGTCCTGAGTTTGAAAAATCTCCTTGTGAAAACAGGACAGCTGAAGGGGAAGAAAGACAGAAGGAGACAAAGAGAGAAAATGGAGTTTGGCACCATGGCTTGGAGGAAATTGAGACAAGACGTCTCTCAACAGACATGTTGACTAACATCACAAGGCATGGAATATAAGAAATGTTAGTGAATAGTTTTTTTTTGTTTTTTGTTTTAAATGTCTTGTAAGATTGCTTAATCCTTATGTTACTACATGTTACATTCTTACCTAATATACATGCTTCATTTTGTGTGTATAATGTATCTTATAATCATGATTGGTCAGGCCAGTATGATTATTTCAAATCTGCTTTTTATTTTGTACACGACTATGACACATTCAAGAACATTCATAATTTAATGTGTAGTTTACGTAAACAAATAATTATCCAGTATTACCTTAAATAAATTGTGATAAATATCAATACAATAAAATAAGTTAAAGAGTTTGCTTTATGCAGTTTGTTTTTTCTCATTTTCTGTTTCTTAACTCCAAGGGGGGCATAGGCTGTCAACCCACTCACTTCAGATAATGAAAAAGAAGAAGAAAAGTAAGAAGAGAAGGAGGAAAAGAAAAGTGTGAGGAAAGAAGGCAAGGGAAAAAGAGACAGAAGAAGGGAAGTGGGAAAGAAAATGGGAGAATATAGAAGAAGAGGAAGAAGATGAAGAGGGGAAAGATGATAAAGAAAAGAGGAGAAGCAGAATGCGGATAATAATAATAATTTGTCACTAATTTATCTACTATAATAATAATTTTTTTTTCTCAGCTGGTTTAATCCAAAGTTGTATTATGAACTTGGCTACAATTATTATTAGAGCAATTTGTTTACAGACTTACCCTGCCAAGATAATAGTCACCCTTTGGAACACCAACAACATAGTCTGAAAACATTTCAGAAGTATAAAATTACTGTAGCATGGCCAAGTTAGCTTTCCTATATTTCTTACTTTTCTATCTTTTATGTAATTCTCTTATCTCAGTCCTTTCAGTCCCACTGCTTTAAGCTGTTCAAACATCAAGGCTTGTTCTTTTTTTTTTTTTTTTTTTTGTATTTCTTAATGAACCACAGATTTTTATTAAGCTATTTTCATAATGGGCCTGTACCCTGTTTACTTCGTCCACAAGGAAAAACATTTCTGATATTACTTAATTCTTGGTAGTTACATGAACATTTTCTGAACTAAATTAATCCTTATACCTTATTTATATGTTTAAAGTAAGAATGGTGCTCTGTAAATGTTTTGAAAGTTTATTTATTAATGCCATCAGAAATAGGAATTGTCAGGAATATCTAAACATTACCTGAGGTGTTTACTATCATCAAATGGTTTTTGGCAGTATTAATTCATAAAATGCAAAACAAAATCCTATATTTCAAATATGTCTTTGTGCTTTTCTTTTTCATTTACTTTCCTAAAGCAACGATGTGTCATCATAATTCCTACACAGAGGACATACTAGTCATCATTATCAAATACCTTCCCGACTGGTGTGAGCGATCATGCCTCTCCACAATCTGTGATCTGCAACTGCATGTATCAGTTTGTGTGTTGACACCCCTCATTGCTGTGAAAAAAGACTGTCAAGAATGTTCTCACACTGTCTTCCTTTGTCTCTCTTTCCACAAATCTTTCCAGTGGTCACAGCATGTTCCATTTTCCCTCTTTTCATAACATGACCAAAAAAATGCTGACTGTCTTTTTCTTATGTTTGTGATAATTTGTCTTTGAGCATTCACCTATTTCAGTACATCTGGGCTGCTCTTTTTAGCTGTCCAAGGAATTATAAGGATTCTTCTGTAAAACCACCCCTCAACGGCCTCAAGATATTGTTTGGCTTGTTTATAATTTTATCCAGGCTTCACAGTCGTATGTTAAAACTGGCTCTTTAGTTCATGTGAGAATTCTTCTCATAACCTCAAATAACATTAATTTATTGCATAAAATGTTCTTCAATTTGTAAAATGCAGTTTTGGCCTGTCCTATTCTATTCCTTATCTCTGTAACACATCTTCCATCAGATGTTATCCTTGATACTTCAATTTCAGTACTTGGCCTAAAATAACACCTTTGACAGACTAGTATCTTCAGTTCAAAAAATAGCTCAGATATGTGCAAGCCAGACTTGCTTATTGGTAAACTGTATATCAGACACACTTCTAAACATTTGATCTTGTTCATAAACTTGAGCTGTGCATGTACATTTGTTTAACAGTGGCATATTTGGGTTAGAAAATACATATTTCAAAATCTTTCTTACCATCGTTGTTATCTCCATCAAACTCTCCAATGGCACTAGAGTAACCTGTAGTAGCAAAGTGAATCATGTACAGTCGTAAGATAAATGACAATAATTAAAATAAATATAAAAACAAAATTAGCTGAAGCTTTAGTAGAAACAGTAGCAGACAACTTTCAGTCCCTTGGGACCACTGAGTGCACTCCTAGTTTTGGGACAGTGTCTATGATGATTTTAAAGTCCAGATGCAGGAGTTAATACTCTGTCATTCTGAGGCTGGTCTTTTCTCAGACCTCTCTATAGCTTGCTGCGTTTGGCCTCTTTGAAACAGTGAACAGTCCTTTCACTGTCTGCCTCCAAAGGAATAGGTCTGCAGCTGATCTCTCCCAAGTGACTGTGTTAATGTTGATATCTTTCAGGCCATGTTTGCATATGACCTGATAGTGTAGCTTTGGCCATCCTGCAGGTCTGATCCTTGTTAGCAGTTCAAAATACAGGAGATCTTTTGGAACATGAAAATCTCTATGTCAGAGACATGTCTCTACCATTGCAGGCATCATTGCTTCAGTAGAAGTACATTTGTAGAATTGCTAATGATTATAGGCCGTACAAACTAGATCAGTCACCTAACAGTTAATATGCTAACTATTTTTTCTTTTTCTTTTTACTTCCCTTTCAGAAATTAAAAACTATTCTATCCCAGACACCCTTTAGTGTCCTAACTCGTTAAGCTTCAAACAACATATTGTGTCTGATGAGATCACTACCAGTGAGTAATGATTTCTCTTACATTTTAAATTTGGTCAACATGTTGAAGAATCTGACTAACTATGTGGCAACATCCATTGTGTTTAGCAGAATTTTTCACCACTTTGGCATGTGCTATCAAATCTGCTACAAAAAAAAAAAAAATAAAGACACTAAAATAATACATGAGACAGTATAAATTAAAGTAAAACAATGTAAACCAATTTACAAAGTGAAATGATTATGAATGAAGAATGGACTTCCCCAACAACTGATAAGACAGAATGAAAAAGGGAAAGTATGAGATGGATTGAGTAATTAATGCACAATGTTCTGAATAAAAGAATGAAAAAGTGTAAATTACTCTGAGTATGCATATTTATAATATTATTTTAAATAATTAAAAATACAGTTATAATCAGCCCTTAAAAGATTTTTTTAATCCTCCTAACCAGGCTTCACAAATAGTTTTTGAAACTCAGAAACATTAAGTATATGTCATCTTTACCAAATACAATCACAATAAAGGAACAAGGGTCACTGTGGAAATAAGCATTCATAAGCAAATAAAAATTAAGAGAAACAAAACACACATAGAAACTGGAAATGATGGATGCTGAAGTTATTTTACAGCATTAAAATATTTTGTAGACACAAGGAACAAAATAAATAAATTATATCAGCATTTCATTTTGTACGTTTTTTTTAAAATATTTGCAGATAAAGGATTTTTTAAAATGACATCCTTTGTTTATTGTTTGCATCTTTATTATATAAAGCTAACAGATAGTTTATATTTTTCCCTTTTATTTTTACATTACAGCAGTTCACTCAATTTAATTTATAAATATCTTCACAAATAGTACCTGTTTTCTGCAACACAACCTAATGTCCATATTGTTGGCATCATGCCATAGTCATGGGTAAATTTGACAATTTTCCCTTAAATGATTTTCAGGGTTTTTATTCATCACTTTACAATAAGCCAAAATAAACTATTACATTTCATGCAACTAGACAATTTTATTTTGCCACTCAGAGTTCATATGCAGTTATCTCAAAACAAGGATTTAGCATTTATTTATGAAGGTCTCTGTATGTCTGGATAATGAAAGTGTTTCTCAGTTGATCCCTTCATCAGTTGTCAAAAATGATATACTCCTGGTATTTTTCCATTGTTTTGTAAGTTTCAGCCAGGTCATGAGGTCTTCTCTTCTACACAGCTCTGACCAGTCTTTGTTTTTTAATTTTTTCCTGTGTGTTAATTTGACTTCCAAGGATATTCCCATTAATCTCTTGTTTAGTCCTGCTGATTGATTTCATTTTATGGCCACCCCGCATCTAAATAAACTCTAGCCATTTTCACCATTCTTGGTGAGGATTCATGTTCAAAAACATTTCTGGCTACTTGCATATGTGAAGAATATTTATGATTTCATGTCAATATTTTATGCTTCACTCTTTTAGATGTTTTTGTTACAGTAATTCTAATGGTATCATTTTCTAAATGTGCATCATCAAATGATCTTTAGCCTGAATGTGTAATAAGAATAAACACTCATATAAGATTCTGATTGTTTCTCAACATACCTAAAGAGTACCATGCAATAGTTAACATACCCAAAAAAAAATAAAAGGCGCTACATCTTATTATTTCTAACAAACTTAAAAAGCAGCTTGTGTGATTTTTTTTTTAAAACTGCCTATAAAGTGCTACTTGTTATTATTTCTAAATCATGTTTTTCCTACTTGTTATTATTTCTAAATCATATTTTTTTAAAGTACCATGTATACATTTTTGAGATACCTTAACAGTGATATTGGTTGCTACTTCTATCATAACTAACATGTAATAAATGCAATGACTAGACCTATACATATAATTGAGAAGTTGATTTTTACCTAGTGGCATCATGATCTTTTTCAAGAGAAATTAAGGTTTTCCATATATTAAATTAATTACATTCTAGTCTGTGATCATGATTAAGAAATAACTGAAGGATTCAAAGAACTAGAAATTAAAAGACTAAAGAACAATGTTAACTTGCAACCTAATATGACGTGCAGAAATGATAAAATAAAGACAAGGCATGCCTGTTTATTAGCATTCCACACACACAAACACACAAATACACACACACAAACACACACACGCACCCACACACGCATTTGGCCATGTTAAACGTCATGATGGTCCTGAGAGACCAGTGATAGAGTGAACAGGTTCCGTAAAACACGGCAAAAACGGACTTCAGTCAAGGTGGATACAAGGCAATAAAGATGCTTTGGCTTGGAAAGCACAAAGGCCTGAGAAATTAGCTATAGAAAAAAAAAATGCTTTTAAGTGTGCTATGATGAGAGCGATGTTCTGTAAAAGACCTGATGTCTGATGATGATTAGCAATTATCCTAAACCAAAACTCAGCATACGTACGGACAAACAAGAAGATATCAGTATCATGTGTCTTGCAGCAGGATACCATAGATTACACAGCCACATTTATACAACATTCAAAACTGGATTATCAGTCATTTGCAAATTTTCATTGGTGTCACAGAAAGCAAAAAAGATACCTAAGACCACTCGGAATACTATACATTGAGTTAAACCATTTGACTTTGAGAAAAAATAGTGGAAACTAACCAGCAGAGTAAGGAGTGAATTAAAATAAGCAGATAAACACATGTACGTCAAAGCATTGCAAATATAGACATCCATTTCACTTGAAAGAAGAAGTATATGATTGCAATTAATCAATAACTGCACATATCACTGCACATATGACTTTTGACATGCAGTATAAACTAAACAACAACTTCTCAAATAAAACTGCAGATATATTTAAAATAATTGTAAATAAAGAATATCATATTTATATAGTAAAATCAAGCATCATACACAGATAAAACTGAAAATAATATTCATGCATGTTGAGATTTTTAAAATGGCATGCTTAAACTTAGGTCAAAACTTGATTGGAAGCCATAACAATTAGGCCTAATAATTCATAGGAAAGGATAAGACTGTGATGATAAATTAAGCAAATGACAACAAAATATTTATTAGGTAAACAAACCTCAATTTAAGAAGTGGATTCATGCTCCCACTTAGGAAAAATGTGAGTAAAGATGGAGAAAAGACAGATAAATAAAAAAGAACACAAAAGGCAAGAGAAGCTTTCACAGCAATGGAAAATCTACTGAAGTATAAAGAAAATGAATCTAGTACCACACTTAGAATATTTAACTCTCATGTAAACACAGTATTTCAGTATAGGACAGAAACACAGGAAAGTGATAAAAAAATACTAATGAATTACAGATATTTCATTAACTGATGCGAGTGGAGAATAGAACGAATAAAATCGTTTTACAACAGTCGAACGTTGAATGCTGAATGTTGAATTAAGAATCAACATCATAGCACTCAGGACACTCCTGTAAGCACTCCATCTTCAGGTAGGAGTTCCAATTCCGATAGTACCAGTAGCTGATTGTACATCTGTCTTGCCTTTCCCTTGAGTGTTGAGCAACATCCAGATCCCCTGGTAACTCCCTGCAGCACCATTCTCCTCAGACTGTAATAATCTATTTGTGTATCAGCACTGTTTACTCGCTTCTAAAGGGCCCCCACAACATCTAGTCTCTCATACATCAATTCACCAATCAAGTAGTGTAGAACCAGCCAGTATATATGCCTGCTCATTTCCCAACACACCTGTATGACCTGGAAAAATATCCATAGTACGCCAACTAGCCGACGCCTCAAAATCGATGCTTGCCACTCTGCGTGGAGCATGCCTGTCTCCAGCTTTCTCAACATTCTCTGTGAGTCAGTTACAGTTAGGACATGTGTGTACAGCACATTCTCAAACCAGCAGAAGGCAGCAGTGACTGCCTCCACCTCCATTCTCAAATTAAATGTTGTGATTTCAAATGCCAGGCTGTGCTGCACTAAGCAAAGTCCATTAGCTTTTGCTATGAACCCCCATGCCCTTTGTCTACCTCTCAACATATCACCTCAGCTGGAATTGTCATGAATCATTTGTTGAACTTTTGATTCCCAAAATTACCTGCATGTATGTGTTCAAGTTTATACGATAAAGTCAATAATGCAGACTTTAGGGAGAGAGCTAAACACATAAACTCTTTCAGTACCAGACCTTTGCTTTTTCAAAAGTTTTTAACTCAAGAGTTTATGTACTTTAGAGCAAGTGTATTTAAGTTTCGGTGAATTAAAATTGTTGAAATGTGGAGCAGGATGAGTTAAAGAAGCGACTGTGGAAGAAAGAATGAACATGAAGAATCTGACAGAAGTTAGCCAATGAAGAACAGATTTAGACACAGATGAGTAATATTGAGAGAAAAGAAGAGTTAACAAAAAATAGAATGGATGGTATATGTTGATGAGACTAGTACTTTCATATTAGAAGACCTGACAAGAACTGCTAAAACGAAAGTGTAATATGCCTACAAAGATAGACATAATGGCACAGCCACTCTCCCATCATGTCAAATAAGAGTGATGACCTTAAGAGTTACAGAATTCATAAAACAGTGATCAAACAATGAAAACAGTCTGAAGTAGTTTTATACAATTTTCATGCCTTTTATGTTAAAAAAATTGTTAGGCTATAGTTCACAAATATCCTGCAACATCATGCAAAAACAAAGCCAGAACAATCATGCATGAATAGGTGTGTGTGTGTGGGGGGGGGGGGGGGGGGGGGAGAGCGTACTGTTCATGCAATATAAAAGATTTTGTTCGGTATCAGTGAAGAAGAGAGTTACTTAGATGTAAGTAGGGTAAGTTTTATTTGCTAAAATTGACTTTCATCACATTAAATTTGTAGTAGTTGAAATAATTTTTCTCACTGAAGAAGCACAACTCTATTATCAATATCATCATTACCCTGTAGGTTTCTTCAAGAGGATGGAACTCTTTCTGCGGTACTTTTTTTAAAGAGACAAGTTAATATACTGCATGCGATTATGCCGCAGTTATTAGTGGTAATTTGCTTCCATAATGATACTGATAATCTCACTATGTGTTCAAACTATGTGGTATTTTAGAGAATGTAAAAGTTTATTAGGTTTATACATTTTAAAGTGAGTACGAAATATTAAGTTTTAATCTATACACTTTAAAAAACATGACAAAATAAAAAAGAGACTCAATTTCTAGAATTAATCTTAATTTTTGTAGAAACTGCTAACAGAATTATGCTTCTTTAATGGTGAATTTTCTAACAACTTCTTGGAGGACACGAGTGTTGCTAAATAATGAGTTTTCTATGTGCAAAGCTGTGTGCTGCTAAAGTTGAGATAGCTATTTCAATGTTTCTTTTTCATTGATTTCATGCAATGTATAAAGTAAGTAAGTAAGTTAAGGTCCCTTTTCCATGCCTTTGGGCTTATAGGGCATATAGGGCTAGACGTGGGCAACTGCTGATCTGTTGGTGACTTCTGCTACCATTAATGATAAACTGCATTTCTAATGTCGGACTGTTTGTGGTAGCACTTCGGATGGCTACCGTATGCTTTAATGCGAGTATATACTAGATATGCTGAGACAGCAGTCTGTCAATCTTTCCACAAGGGACTGTGATAAACATTGTGTGTGTTTTTCGTTGGCACAAGAGCGGAGCAAAGATGGGGTGACACGTTTGCTATGAAGATGAAACTAAGACTATCAGACTACCAGACCAGGGCTAGACCTATATTTTTATAGACCAATCGGCACAAGATGGGTGATGCTTCCAGGACTGTACCCCGTACCCACTTAAGGCTGGGCTGACCTGGTAGTCAAGGTCATTTTTGAAAAACAGTCTGGCTCCGCCACTGGATCCATGACCTTCTGATCCACACGCGAGCGTCTAGCAGCTACGCCACAGCGACTAATGTATAAAGTGATATTTAAAACTAGTAGTAACTGAGTCAATGATATCATGTTCTATCTTTTTGGATTATAACTGGGATATAGTGGTTTTTTTTCTTATTCAGTACTGGGTTGTTAGGTCTGTTATTTAAAAATATTACTGAAACAAAGTATTTGATAAATGCTACTGGTCATATATGAGTGGATAAATAGTGATGGAAATGCATAGTTATAATTTTTTTTTAAAGTGTTATGCTAACTGAACATTTCAACTAACTGTTAAATAATTACTGTTAAACAGTATATATATTTTAATTTTCTGCCTAAGGTAAGGGTTCAGTTAGAGCTGTAAAGTTGTCATGTCTTAATACACCAAATGTCCTGTTTTTTTAATGTTTCCAGGTATGAATACATTTGTACAAGATCACTATTAAAATGGAAATATAATTTCCTTAGCTAAAGAAACTCTGGAATACACTAAGTAGCTTTTTTAAAAATATTTAATTAATGTCTGCATTAGTTTACTCCATTTTGTCATGTAGGTATTTTTTACACCTTACTCACTAATGGTTAGGTTAGTTGTGTATCCTTTACAGGAGGTTGCAGAACCAACCCCAGCAGCCCCTGGCTGTTGTGTGGTTTCTGTAGGCAAATTTACGTCCAGTAGTTTGCCATTGCTTTCTGGAGGGTTGGTCCCCTGATACCACTGTCGAAACCAACACAAGGCGCATGGCCCGCAGCTGGGATTGAATCCGGCACCCCGGCATTAGGAAGCATTCGCACTGACCTAGCCACAGAGCTATCTACTCACTAATGACACCCCTGAATATTAATTAACTTTTTCTTGTTGTTTTTAATTTACTTTTATATCTGGGCAAAAGCTACATCTGGTAAAAGAGAGAAGTCACAAGGGAAAAACAGAAATGCATATTCCCTGCTGATTACACCCACAGTAAGGTCACTTTATATATATATTCATTGAAATGTTTAATCGTCAGAAGTGAAAAAGATCCATGGAGGAGAAATGTACATATTTGTTAGATACAGAAATGATGGATGGAAAATGTTACCCATGTAACCATTATCATTATCAGCTGGCCTTTCTGATGTTTGCTTATACTTTTCCCCACTGATGGCATCAAACTGGAAAAGTTGACCTGTGTTAAAATAGAAGTTTAGATTAGTAATACACAACTCTCTGTCATTCTGGCTTACCCTTGTATGTATCATCTTCTGTTGGTTTCCCCTCTGGTGTAGAACTCAATATGCTTCCACCATTTTCAGTCTTGTAGTTGTACAACTGGCCTGTAGGAAGACATAGGACACTAGAAACCACACAGAGGAAGTGTAGCAGATACTCTTAAAGTTCACTTAGTCATGAAATGGATAGATATGACGAAAACAAAGAAATGGGGAAGAAAAGAAGGGGAGTTCATGACCCCCTGTCTACACAGCCCTAAAAGGTGATTAAACAGACAGTAGTGACAATAAAAAAACAAAAAGAAATTGTGGGCAGACTGGTCACTTTCTGATTTCAAATTTTCTCCTCTGGGTTCTCAGGTCCAATTTTCGGAGGGAAAAACCAACCCACTGCTTCTTAACAAGCATGTCATAAAAGGCAACTAGTTAGGGATTCCCCATGCATAAGAAACTATGTAAATCACAGACCTTATCATTTAAAAACGAGGAACTTCAGAGAGCCCAAGAAATATAAGCTTTCATTTCCTGGTCCAAAAAATTAAGTTGCCCACTTTTCCTGAATGCGCACCATGAAATGCCAAGTACTTCTCACAGATCAGAAACATAGCTAAAGGAGAACAGACTCCATTAGAAAGGCAGACAACCACCAATCAACTGTTAGAACAAAACTATCCCTCAAAAAAAAGATGGAAATGGGTGTTCAAAGATGGCTCAGCAAAGGAAGCTGTTAGTGATGGAGGAGGAAGAGGTGTCATAAAAGAGTAGGGTTTACCTAAGAAGAAACTTAAATAATTTTAAAAAGGAGGCTATGGCGCTGGAGTAGACAGTATCCATATTACTCGATTAATGTAGCTCTGAGCCAAAAAGAAGTCATTCTTTCAGATTACAAGCAATACAAAATGACAAGCAGGTCAACAAGCTTTGAGCTATGTTAAATCAAATGGGTCAGCTAACCAAGCAGACTGGGCTTCAGTGTCTCCTAGGCCACAGCATTATTAAGGGAAATGAAAGAGCAGACTACTCAACCAAATATTCAAAGTCGTACAGAACATCCAGATACAGGATGCATCTATGAGGAAAATAAAACTCAGACCAAGGCAGCCATTAGAACCCAGTGGAGCATCTCCTATCCTGGACACAGTCTTAAAGTCAACCTCCCCACACGAAAAATCAACTTTTATGTTTAGAATGTGCACCGGTCTCAGCTGTATGTTACAGAAATTCAAGATTAGGGATTTAGAAATTTGCCCATGTGGAAAGGCACCATAGAATACTGAACATAAGCTTCACACATGATCTGTACAGGCACTAGAGAGATCCTATGTTTGGCTGGTTGAAATTGCAATGGAAACCCAGCTGTTTGGAACTTGGGAAGACATGTGTTGCACCACAGACTTCATAAAGGCCTTCTCATCGGACTACTGGCAGTGAGAACGAAAAGAAGGAGAAGTGATTGGTAATCAGTGAGGGCTCTCATCACAGCACTCCAGGCAGATCCATAGCTGCTTCGATCTCCTCCTCTCTAGGTCCACAAGAGTAAAATGACTGATCAAGCCCATTCTGTGTTGATTAATCAGAAGCCTTGTGCCCTTGGTGTAATGTTCATGTCTGGCTACTCAAGGTTGCACTGCCAAGTCTACCAGCCTTGATAAGGATACTGAGTCATGCTTGCTGTCACAATCTTCTTTGCGATATGCAGTTCATATAGCATTAATGACATCACTCCTGTTCAGTACCGGGTAGGTCATGGTAACAGCCTTATTGCCAGATAATCTGTTCATGCTCACTGCCTTAAATACCCATAGATCCCACAACAAATGTAAAGATTAGGTGCATTATTTAGGAAGAAGAAGGATTGGTTAAAACTGGATATGTTGGGCCAAAAGGTACAGACTTCACAGTCTAGCGGTAAACCACAACACAATGTGCCAACTGCTCTTTAAATGCAAATGCCAAAAAAAAAAGAAGTACAGTTTTGGACATTAAACAACTAAATTGACAAAATACCTTTAAAAATATTAAAGACAGAAAATACCCACAATATCTTGTGTATGCTTATCAAAAGAAATTCCATCACTAAGTATTCACACATGCAGTTCTCTTACCTTGCCAGTACCAGCTTCCCGGAGCACCAATCAACAATCTTTTACCATCCTGCAGCAGAAAAAGAATAAAACACCATAAATCACACTCAAAAATGTTGTTATAATGAAACAAGTGAGAGTCTGATAAACAGATTTGCAAGTGTTGCTTAAAAGTAACCTCAGTGACAATGAATAAAGCATGTGCACCTTACTTACAGCATGAAAGAAACAAATATAATATATACAGGTACTTGTTTTTGTACTCAACAGTGTTATTTATAATAAAATAACTGTAGCAGATCTACTAATAATAAAGAATATGTAATGGCAGCAAACAGCAGCTATAAGAATTAACAACTGTTTAGGTACATTTCAAAGCATACAGAGGGGCGTACGACAAGGATGTGTACTGTCACCACTTTGTTTTCAATATACAGTGAATATATAATGAGATCTTTAATTGATATGCCAGTGGGAATTTTGGTTGGTGGGCACAATATAAACAATGTTTTACATTTATGCTGATGACACAGTCCTTGATAGCAATAAGTCAGAAAGAACTACAGGAAATGATAGACATTGTTGTGTTAGAAAGTGGAAGAATGGGCCTCACTTTGAATAATCAGGGGAAGACAGAAGTAATGGTGAAGATCCCGAAAATATCAAAGAAACAAATTATTCCTAAGTGTGTAATAAAAGTTGATGGTGTATTTTTTTAGGACATTAAGTACAGATCCTGGTAATTTTAAGTATCTGGGCACATGGATAACATCAGATGGAAGAGGCATAACTGAGATGAGAAACAGAATAGGACAAAAAAAACTGCATTTTATAAAATGAAAAACATCTTATGCAATATATCCTTGTCATTGACTGTGAAGTAAGGAAAAATAATTTTTGCTTGCTACGAATAATAAAGAATATGTAATACTATAAGAATTAACATCAGTTTTCAAACATATGGCTGTGAATCCTGGACAATCGGTAGGCAGGCCAAACAATTTCTAGAGGCCTCAGAGATGTGGTTTTACAGAAGAATACTTAAAATACCTTGGACAGCCAAAAAGAGCAACCAAGAGGTTATGAAGGAGGCAAGAGCCTGAAGACAACTTATCCCAGACATCAGAAGGAGACAGTCATCATTTTTCGGTCATGTTATGAGAAGAGGAAAAATAGAACATGTTGTGACCACTGGAAAGATCTATGAAAGGAGAGATAGAGGAAGACAATGAGAGAAGATGTTTGACAGTCTTGTTGCATGGCATGGAGGTGTGTCGGCACACGAAATGATACATGCTGCAGGAGATCGCAGATTATGGAGAGGCATGATCGAGCACGCCAGTCGGCAAGGCACCTGATGATGATGATTGTTATGGCTGTGTCAAGTAGATAGATGTTTTGTTTTGAAAACAACCTACCATTATGAGGAATTTAGCCCAAACCATTATGGCGGTATGCAAATGCAATAAGCATGGTGCCACTAAAACACTATCTCAAGCTTAGATATACACAAATGCGAGAATTAGTTGCCTGTTTTTGATATGAATTAGGCAAGAAAATTTGTAATTAAAGAGGTGTCATCTAAGAAAAGTGGTTATAAAGTTGAAACAATGATACATTATTTCATAATCTTCTAAAGAATGTGCTAGGGGATCGACTTTATTTTATTTTTTTAAATTTTATTTTTTATCTTTTTTCTTTTACATTATAAAGCTGTATAAATATGTCAGTAATTACTCAGGTTTTCCAGTTTATATAACAATTAAATACTATTTCAAAACCATGCAGTTTGCAAGAAACAGAACCAAATAATTACATGACCATAATAAGCTCTAGCTGTGCAGCACAGACAGAAAGTTTAGAAGTATTAGGAGACTCTATGTATTTGTGTTAGTATATACACAGATATAAAAACGTTAAAATGTATGCATCAGTTGAAAAGGCAACAATTATCATCATTAATATACACTGAAGGTTAACCAGAACAAAAATAACAGGCCTAAATAAGACATGATATAATCACTGTCATTGCAATGATCAGTATTGAAAACAACAATGTACAGACATTCAAAATTATCTTAGAAGAGCACTTTTATATTTATAGCATTTTATATATCCTATCAATGAATGGTAAATCATCAAAATAATTATTTTGGTCAACTGGGAAATAGAAACTAAAATTTTTAGAGCATGTATCTTCCCTGTAGCAACATACGGATGTGAGTCATGGACTATCTCCCAGTCCTTAAGATAGAAAATATAGGTCTTTGAGCTGAAATGCTATAGAAAGATTCTCAGAATACAATGGACAAAGAAGAGAAGAAATGCTGACATTTGAAAACATCTGAACATCAAGGAAGATTGTCTTAGATGCTGAAATATTTTGGTCATATCATGTTCCACGGTGGACTGAAAAAATAATAGTAGAGGGCATGGTACCAGGAAGGAGGGGCAGGGGCAGATCAACATGAAGATGGGCACAGGATTTAAGTGGCTCCTTGAATATAAAAGTACACAAGGCAAGAGAGCTGGCGAGAGATTGAGTTTCTTTCTGACAGACTGTAATGAGAGTGACGCCTTTGCAAAGGAACTGCTACACGATGATGATCAACTAGTTTCTTGCCATTTTTATAGCCATGTTTCTTTGAATCGATATATGTTTATTGATTTCAGCTTTATAATGTTTTATCTTCAGTTTAAAAGTTTCTTAATTTTACCATAGCTGTCTACAGTCTTTGCATTTCCAGTTATCTGCAATGGTTGCTTACTTCAGATTAGTATTAGTAATAATTTTTTTCAAAAATATGCTGTTCAACCCTCAGGGTTATAACTGGGATATGTAGTGTTAATTGAGTTCTCATAGTATATATTTATTTTAAATTTATATATTATGTAATTATTTATATGACCTAAATGTAATTTGTATTGTTTTACATTTTGCTTTGATTTGTGTTGTGATAGAAATTGTACTATGAATAATTAGACAATCTTTCTAACATTGTGTCATTAACATGGTGGACATACTGTTTCCTTAGTGTGCAGTCACTGATTATTTTTCTCGATTTAATCTTTAGGGGAAACTTCTTCAAAGATACCATGGGTATTACTTCAGATTGTCAGTGTGACTTTGAGTACACTAGCTGAATTTAATAATTTAATTTAAAAATTAAAAAAATTAGATACACACACATTTTCACACATTGTGAAAATGACTACAGCAAATAACAACAGATAACACTGACTTTATTTTTCACATGCAATGCTAACAATTAAGAGTAATGAAAACCAAAAATGTAACAATTTATTAACCTAATTTAATCTCTTTTAATCTTAAAAAATTTGAAATAAAAGATTTCCCTAAAAGAAATTACTTATCATAACCGAGTTCTATGAATATATAGAGAGTGAAAACTGTCTCTGTTGAAGCCACATTTCTGTAGGATGAGTTTACAAAAGGTAAAAATGATGATACACTGTTTGGGACAGGCCATAACTTTCTACTGACAAAGCAAAACTTCTATAATACAAGCTGATTGAATGTAACTTAGAAGAGATTTGGGACTTCATTTTTTGAGCTTATCCCATAATAATTGCAAAGACAGCAATGGATACACATATCCATTGCAGCCAGCCTCTATTGTGGAGATGACACTTTAGAAGGAAGAAAGTTACATGATAATATATGTTTGAATCAGAGTGAAAACTCTTGCTGTTGAAGCCATATTTCTGTAGTATAGACTGACCAAATGTATACACAAAAATAAAAGGTGCATGCTACAATGTGTGGGACACCAAGAAGAACCAATGACATGCTTGCGACTGAAAGAGTTAATACACACACACAAAAACAGTACACCAAAACTCATACATAAACCTAAATTTGTTTCAGACTAAAGACTAAGGATAAATAGTTTAAATGTACCTTTTAAAATATATTATCCATAATTTTCTTGACATTCAGAAGAAAATATGAAAACATGAAATTAAAAATATTTTAAAAGATGTCTTCGAGCAGGGGAGTCTATTTTATTTTTGTAAATAAAAAAGCAAACAAAATTATTACTATATTTTTACGGAAACTGGAATATGACATTTTAAAAATCTTTGCAGACAGTACAGTGGTTCTCAAGCTAGTAGTATTGATTTCTAAATGCACTTCATCATAATGGATATTAGTAATAAAAAACATAGTTTTCCATATCTTTGTCCTTTAGTATCCATATCAGCCTTTGATTAGTAATAAAGAACAAACAGATTACACTTAACATAGATGTACATTTCCTCAAATTCAGTTTGTACACTTCTATTATAAATAAAGTGTAATTCATTACATAAGAAAAGCTTTAAAACATTTTGTTGGTTTGTTAAAAAAATAATTATTACAACTTTTGAAATACACTTTTACCACATCAAATATATATAAATACTGATAGTTACTCATACAACTGCTCTTAGTTTTATGGAGAAAATGGCCATGTTTCATTTAATTTTACATCAAATTAAGAGGTATGAATAGAATAATGAACGAACGAACGAAGGAACAAACTTTATTTTCAAAGGGTGAGCCTGTAGTAGCCACAAACATTGGTTAAGAGCCACTGTCAGACTAGTCTATACAAACATTAGGCTAGGACAAGGAACAACATTTTGTGTTAGAAAATATCAACACTGAAAAACCAAATAATTATACAAAAATAATACATTTACTTTTTACACACAAATACACCAAAGTCTCCAATACTTTTGAGTGTGCAGGCAAGAACAGCAGTGATATTAACTCACGTACATTTGACAATGCAGCACTGCTTCCGGCCTGGCAGAAGCCTTGCCGATTAAACCCCCATTGGCCTGCAAATACATACAAGAAGGTTCTTATCGTGACATTTAACTGCCACTACAGAGACCTGCCCACAGCTGAATATTTAAAGCATGTGTGGATCCTGTTAGATACATATGGAGATTCTGTATGGCGATGTGTGGTTTGGGAATTGAACTGAGGGTCTCAGAGTGTAATCTAAAGGACAAGATTGGAATAGCAACAAATAATTTCAAAATGCTATGAACATGGTT